AAAGTATATTTGTACAGCTGTAGGAAGTGTGGAAAGCATATCCATTCTAACTTTTGGTTCAAATATATATTAAAAACAAAGTAAGCAAGGAAATCACCTAAAGCAGTTCAGTTTCCTGAAATTTATTATTGAATTCTAAGAAATCATGTGGTATCCCACTACTTTATTAGAATAAGCCAGGGGTTCCTCTTTGTCAAAGTCTTAAATTTAGGATCATAATGGATGTGAACCAACGTTAGAAAGGCAAACTGTACCAACAATGACTGGCTAATAAGAAGTGTTCCCTGTGATTCCAGGCAAGGTATCAGAGTGAAGAGAGACTGGCCTTTGGCGTCACACCTGGGTTTGCAATTTGGATGGGACATTTAACCTAAGGTTGTTCCCTCACAGGTTAAAATAAAATAAAATAACAAAGTACTCAATACATTTTCAATATCTATGTTTGAAAATGTGTCCTGCAGCTAGATTAATCGGCTATTTATATATGGAGGTACAGGGTACTTACATGGAGGTGCAACTGTGGTTTGCAGTAAAATGCAAAAGTGAGCAAGTCAAGGAATACTCAAGGAAATAAGCTATTTACTATTCTTTCAATGATTCCCCAAAGTAATTTCCCAAATGCAACTTCAAAGGAGAGGCCAGGAAATCTAATTTTTGTCACATTAGCTGGATATGTTTGGATATGTGTTATTTTGTGAAGCGCCTATTCACAGTTTAAATTAGGGAAGTTTGCTTATCCCTGCTTTGGTTTCATTATTGGCTGAGTGCTCTCATGCTGTCTGTTACCCTTTCCCAACTACTAAACTCCCACGGTTTCCTCTAGAATTTAGGATTAGTCATTATCAAAATCCCCTGCAGCCTCTATCTTTTCTCTGAAAACTTCCTTTACTTCTTAATACACAAAATCTAGCTGTCTCGCCAGCAAGGACACTGGTTCTTCTGGAATGCTCTCAGGTGGTAACCTTTTTATTTTCTACACCTCTTGTACCACTGGGCCTGGAAATGGAATAATTGACCTATATGCCCCTCACCATTCCCTCCAGACCATTCTCCCTCCGAGGCTCCTATGATGTCTCCAGCATTGTATCGCATGTCATCAGACTATAGTACTAACTACTCAACCTGCTGTACTTACCTGCCAACTCCTGGTTGCTCTCCTTCATTTTTTGATGTTAGCCGCTAATATGACATCTTGTCAATGTTAGTTCTACTATAATTGTCTGTTTCAATATCCATGCTGATGATTCTCTAATATCTTATGCAAGGGCCACTACCAGCCTTTACAACATCTTTGTGCAAAAAAAGAAAAGGCCATCTTTTCCAGGTGAACCCAGTTCCATCCCACAGCACTAGGCTGGGCAAATGGAGGGGTGCTGAATTTCAGCCACTGATGCCACTTCAGCCAGGCAACACTTGAGTGCACACTCTTGATAGCCTGAAACCTAGACCCCTTCTTTCTTATCATCTCAGAAGGAATATTCCATAATAGTATCCTAAATTCAATCCATGCATTCCACTCACCTCACTTACACTTTCAATTCATTTCCCTTAGAACACCAAATCAAACAACCTTTCCACACCAATGAGACTTCCTTCTTCACACCATCTCTCACACACTGTGTCTTCACTCACCTCCACATGGGCATATGTTCTATGGAAATTTGCCTTCATTACTCCACTTCATATGCTCTTAACTCCTTTTTTTCCTCTCTTGCTTCATCATTGACATCTGGCAAACCCCCAGCTTCAATCGCTATACAACTTCTCTGAGCTTATACAGTACAGTGCTCCTGAACACAACTGGGCAAAAATGGACAACCATGTAGGTTGGTCTCCTATTAAATGCAGGATGAATAACCTTAAGAAATCCTTAATGTTGTCAGAGTCTCTCAGACAAATATTTTGTATCTTCTCCTTAAGTCTATAAAACTACCTCCCCTATTCTCACCCTTAGCTGATGGACTTGTTTTCTATTTCACTGAGAAAAAGAACATACACAGAAGCAAACTTCTATTAGCCCCTTCCACATGTACTCACCTACCTTCACTTCTACTGAAACACCCTGACTTTTCCGACTACCTCCTTTAGAGCACCTGTCTACATCTCTTGTTAAGACCAATCTCTCCACTTGCTGAGTATGTCCCATTCTCCCTCATGGCATGGCAACAGAACACCCCTCCCACATTATCAATTTTCCTCAACTGAAATGTTTCCATTAGTGAACAATTTTCTAATACTTGTTTCCCTTTTTTTTAAACTGTCTCTTGATTCTTTCCTTTCCAGTCATGTTCTCATTCCATTCTTTCCCTAGACCTCAAAATTCCATGAAAGAATTGTCTACACTTGTGACCTCTAATTTCTCCCCTCTCATTCTCTTGAACCCACCTTATTCAGGCTATGGTCTTACCACTCCACAAAAATTACAGTTGACAAGTTCATCAATACCCTCACAAAGGTGAATCCAGTGGTAATTTTCTAATCTTCATCATGACATTGTGTTATCAAAAGCACTGACACATTTAAGTCACTTCATCTTCAGAAATACTTTCTTCATCTGGTTTCCAGGACAGAAAATATTATGTCCATGAACCTTCAGTCTCACTGTTTTCTACACTCTGTCCAACCTCTTAAAATTCAAGTGCCCCTTAGCTCAGTCTTTGGGATTTTTTTCTTTTCTATTTACCTTCAGTTCCTTGGTAATCTCATTCAGTTTCCTGTCTTTAAATACCATCTATAAACTGGCCACTTCCAAATCAGTATCTTCAAGGATTTTTCCCATAAATTTCAGACAGATAAAATCATTTACTTAATACATTCACCAAGATATTGAAAAAGAATCTCACGTCCAGAAGCAAGCTCCTAATCAACAATCTCCCTCCCCTAAACTGGTTCCCTTGAAGATTCTTCCATCTAAACTAAGGACAATGCTATTGTTCAACTTGCTCACATACTCAAACTCTGGAGTCATCCCCAACTCCTTTCTCTGTCTCACATCCACATTTATCTGTCAGCAGCCTCTGCTGGATCTACCAGAATCCAATCACCTTTCATCCCAGCCACTGCTACTACTTTCTTTCAAATCACCAGCACCTCTCCTCTAGACTACAATAGCTTTCTAATGGGTCTCCCTACCTTTGTCCTTGTTCTCGTATCTTTTTTTGTACTTAGCGATCCTAATAAAACCCAAATGTGCTCATTGCCTTTCTAGTTTCAAACTCTACAATGGCTTAATATCTCACTCAAAACAAAAGCCAGCATCAAGGTACCACATAACCTGGCCCCAATAACTTCCCTGGCTTTGTTTGTTACTGTACTCTCCCTTGTTCACTTTGGCCTCACAGCCACACTAGCCTCTTGCTGTCTACGGAATATTCCAGGCACTCTCCTGTCTCAATGGCTTTGTAATTGCTGTTCCCTCTACCTCTACCTGGAATTCTCTCCCCTGAATGCCTGTTCACTCATGCTCCTCAGGTCTTTTCTGAATGTAACCCTCTACCCCACTCCCCTACTTCCTAATTTATTTTGCCCCATATCACTGTTCATGACTGAATAAGCTATACATTTTAGGTATTTATTTTGCTTATTTTCTGTCTCTCAAAGAACATAAGCTTCATGAGAGATTTGCTTTTGTTTATCCCTGCTGTAACTGCAATGTCAAGAATAGTCTTGGCACATGAAAGAAGCTCAATATACATGTTGAAAGAGCTTCACCCAGGCACGAGTGCCACATTGACAGCGACTGCAATAAGATTCTCCTTCACCCTCTTGAAAGGGAAAAGTGTGCTCCATTCACCTACCCTTTTATAAAGTCAGAAATTACTGTGATTCTCTGAGTTTTCCTCTCTCTAACCACAAGTACCAGCCAGGGTTCACACCATTACCCCAAAAATTAGGAGATGCTCAAAAATATAGGATTAGGGACCACAGGTCAGATGAAAAGTAGAACAGTTCATAAAGCAGTCTGCAGCCATTCTTGTGATTTTCTTAAGACAAGAAGCTGTGTTTCCTTTATTAAATTCACAACCTTTGCTACAGATTAGAGAGGAACTAAAGTAGTACCAGTCTTTCAGAAAGCACAAGTTTTAAAAGCAAGAGTGTTCAGTGAGCATGCACAGGACAAACAAAGGGACTCCATGGCCATTAATAAAATGAATGGCTTTGGGTTATTACTAAAATACAGTATTTCTGAAAAAATCCTTTAAGGTTTGTTTGTTTAAAGGTAATTTACTGATTCCTATGAGTCTACTGACAGTGACTTTAATTACACAGTTTTCTCTCAAATCATGATCTGGGTCCCTTTGTGGAACCAGTGGGCAGAGTAGAAGAAAGCAGTGCAGCTATTGTGGGACAAAGATTTGCCTAAATTGCAATGCAGAATTATGTACACCGAAAAGAATCACAATATAATTGTCTTGAGGAAGACAAAAATAAGTTCATATATAAAATTCAGAGGATAAAATTCAGAGGTGGAAAATGCCCCCCTTAAAATTCTAGAAGGGTCACTCGCTTCTCAAAAGTATTTCACAAGAAATATCTTACTTAGCCCTCTTTTCATTCTGAGGAATGAAAACACCAAGCTTCATTTGCAAAAGACAAACCAGGGAACAAAGCTGTTATAAAACTACTTGTGATTAAAGGAAAAATCAGCACCATCAGAAATAAAACATTTGCATTCTCAATCCTCCCATAAGAATGAAACCACTAGGTACCCCCAGTAACCCTCTCAATTTGCAGGTGAAATATACTAATACTTAAAGAATTATTTCAGAAAATTATTCAGGGAAACATGTACTGTTAAAGAACAAAAAAAGCAAAGAACTATATACTTCTTTTAGATACTATCCTTTTTGAATCAAAACACCTTGATGATAAATCTCAGGATTAAAAAGTTAGAAGAAAATTGTATTGGTAATGGTAGGCAATTCAGTTAATGAATCACTGGCATTCTATATAACTTTTAAGAAAACAAGGGATTATATTTTAGAATTCATCACACTTACCTCCATTTTCTTCTCCATGGGCATTTGCCTCGGCCATATCTGTACCATCCAATTCAGATTCACAGACTAAATCCAACGTGCCATCTGCTGGGCATGACGACTCCTCTTTCTATATTATTTTGAAAAGTGATGATTTATGGAGAAGATATATTAGCAACTAAAAACATTCAAAATACTTGAAGAAACCTAAAGTATGATCACTTATTTGTGACTTAACATTTCAACACTGATTTACTTTTTAATGAAAAATCATTCTTGGGTTAAGAAAACAACAACAGCAACAACTGGGTAAAGCGCATTGCTACCATTGATTTTTTTTTTTTTTTTTGGATAAACTTTTAAAATCTATACCAAAAAAGAAGTTTCTTTTTGACATATGTTGTTTCCATTTTTTTTTTTCAATTCTACATTTTTCCTCATGTAAAGAAATGGCTTAACAACTCAGAATTTTAATCAGTTACTTAAATACCCAACTTGCTACAAAAAGCAATGGAAAAACTACAAGTCTTTCTGATTAACCTGCCTTATTTTCTGAAACACACACAGTGGACCACAGCCTGATGCTTAGTAGCTAAAAAAGAATTCCTGCTTTGTTGTCTAGGTATAACTTTTGATGTTAAAAAAACACAAATTTATAAGTAGCTAATTAACTTTAAATATAATCTATCACTTAGATACTTCTTTCTAATTTCTAAGAAATAACACAATGAATTTACTTATTCCAAGTTACGCAACCATTTGTAGATTATAAGCTTTTGTCTTCTGGAATTTTGCATTTCAGATGTCATTTCCCCTAGATGGAAATGGGAATGCCTTTAAAATAATTATACTAAAATAATTAAGACTTGGTTATCCGGAGCTTTTATTTCTTCTTCTCATACAAGTGTGCATTATTAGTAAAACTTTCTTGACATCACCATTTCTTATAAAATTAAATGCTAGATTTACTTCAGGATTTTCAAGCAGAATGAATAATGATTTATTTTTATAAAAGACAAAGGCATACAGGTGTGAAGCCTGTATATCAACTGATGGTCATTAAGTTTTAAAGAGTTCATGGTAACTCTGAGTATCTTAAACTACTGGCTGATGACCTATGACATTCCTCCCCATAAATTTCAAAGAATCAAGAATTTAAGGAGACCACAACTATTCTATATTACCATATGTTATGGAGTAAAACCACAGATATGCTTTCCTTAAAGAAAAATGTCACTGTTTATTCTTAATATGAAATCATTTTTAAGACATCTGTAAACATTTAAAAGTCACAGAAGTCATTCTTCTACTCTTCATCCAAATCTAATTTTGCTTACCTTCACATGTATGAAAAAAGGCATGCTACATAGTAATAACAATATGTAGAACAATGCAACTTACTTTGAGAGCATAGAGGCCTGACTTTCCAGGGATTTTGAAGAATGTTCCATCCCCTATTCGAGTGTTAGTGTGAAGCATTGCATTCAGACAGGCTAATGGAGAGGTTCCACTAGAAAATAAAAGTGTGCAAAAATGAAGCAGTCTGAGGTACAGCTTCTATTGCAAAACTGTTCTCCGAGTCTCTCAAAAAAAAAAAAAAAAAAAGACTTCTTTGCATGCCTTTTAAAAATGCCCTCCCAACCCTGAAAACATCTACATTACAATAAAGGTCCAAGTCCAGTTTCACCAAAGTTAATCAGATGCATCTGTCGTATAAGGCCTTCAGGCAAATTTTTCTTGAATTGAAATTACGCTTTTATTCATAGAGTAACCAATACAATATTTTACAGAAACCAAAGCTCAAATATTTATGTGGTGTTATTTTACAAATAACACCATGAAGTCTTAGCTATTAAATATTACAGACAACTTGATGGTTGCACTTGAATGATCAAAAAAAAAAAAAAAAAAAACCACCAAGTTCAAGAGCAGCTCTATCCCATAGGTTGAAAAGCAACAAAAGAATAATAAACCAGGGAAGAACTGATTTAAAATTATAAGTATTTAAGTTACTCACAGGACTGCATTTCTCACATGGTCAAATAAGAATATATGTATGTGTTTATACCTCTGATACAGCCTCTACAATGACATCCTTTTCTCAGATATGTCAAAGAATAGGTGTTTGGAAATTCTGTCCAGCTAACAGAATTCTGTAGTAAACATGCAAGTGACTGGATTATAAGATCACTTTTTAAAGAATCAAACAGCATTAAACTAACAATTTAAAATATCAAAGTACATATGTCCAAACATTATTAGAATGAGTTCATATACTTGAATGAGGTTTATACAACATAAAGTACATATATATATTTCCAGGGGTAGATTTTAGAATTTTTTGTTTTGATTGCAAACTCATATTTAAAAGCTAGAATTCAGAGCTACAATTTTTGTCTTTATTTAATTATACATCCATAAACATTTTACTTTCTAATATGCCAAAATATCAGTATCAGGTCAAACCGATTTTAGTTAAAAGCCGTACCCTCCCACCACTCTCACGTGCTTCTTAGGAATTAGGGGTATTTAATTCACATTCTGAGACAATAGCCTTCAGCATATGAAGCTTTCAAACTTTGAATCTGTAAGTTCAGAATTCTAACTTTAAATTCTGAGGATAATTATATAATTTGTGCTCCTAATTAAAAGTTTTCTAAAGACCAAGACTATGAAATCTCCTACTTATAATGAAAACTTACCAGTAAAATGAAAAAGTCAAATATGCTGAATTGCCAGAACACAGTAGCAAGGCAGCATATATATGCACTATGGTCATTAAGGTTTGTAAGTATTAATCTACAAAGACAATTATTTTAGGAAGCAGCTTCTCCATGCCAACATATAAATATGATTCCATTGAATTTGACAGGAAAGAAGAATCATCTTAATATAAATTTGGTCATAGAATAATGTAGCTGTAACATTAAAGTACACATGGCAATAACGTATTTAGGTAGTATCTTTTTCTTGAAGCTCCTACATGCTTGCAGGCCTCATTTTGTTATTTTCTCACAAAAGATTTTAAAGTGGCCCAGGCATATCTATAAAGGAAAACATACTCATCTCTCCAGAAATATAAATTCCAAATAAATTATGTAATACCTATCACACTGAACACTGCAAATACATATTTTTACATTATACTCTTCAGACAAAAGCATAGAGAATTTGAAACTAAGAATGATTATGCCAGATTTTTGGAGTTTTAATTTAGCGGAACTGTCAGAAATACAGACTTTCTGTAGAGACTTGGCAAAAAGATGTTAACACGACATGTGAAATAGAATCTAATACATAAAAATGACACAATGTAAAATGTTTTAAAATACAACTTAATAAAATTGTTCACCTAATATGAAACCTCACAATGCTGTTTCTTCTTTCTATTCCTAAGGCCCTAATGTATATGATTCCAAGAACTCAGATTCAGCATGTTAAATAATAATACAGATTTAAAGGCAATGACTAAGTACTAAACAAATATAACATTACTATAATTTACATTTCCTTTCTAAGGTATAGCAAGCTGAAGATAATTGTAGAAGACAAATTGGCTGTTAAATAGCCATTTAATGCTGTGTTTGCTGCAAACATATGTGATAAGTCCCCAGTTTTCTACAAATAATAAGCTCTATTAAGCATGAATATATTATTAAATTATACTGTTTATTAAGTCAATAAACACAAGATTTACTATGGAAAAATTTAAAAATATGTAATTCACAATCACATCTCCAAAGTCTCAACGACTATTGCAATTTCTATAAATCTTTCCCAAAAGAAACATATTAAACTTGTTTATTTCAAAACTATACAATATTTGCATTAGAAAATGATTTGCAACCAAATGCAAATTTTACAGCTAAAATCACTCGCTGATTAGTCATTTAGTTTTAGGCACATGAGTTTTATTCCTTGAAGAAGAAAAAACTACTCATTCTGGTCCATTTTAATTAAAAACAATGAAAAATAAGCATCAAAAGAGTTAAATACTTATTAATAGCTAACTGATTAATCCAACACAAAATATACACATGAAAAGGTATTTCAAAAACCTTTCAAACCATTTACTTATTATTGTTATCTTCAATTCCATAAATTATCAAAAACTTAGACCACTTTTTCTGCAGAAATGTCTTAACTGCTATTGAACAAAAATAAAACCTTACTTATGCAATTTTATTATTTTTATATTCAGAAAAAACAGAATTAACAAGCATACTATGTATTGTATATACAAATATATATATACCTTAAACATAATAAGTAACTGTGAGTAAAAAGTGAAGCAGATGCACATGCTTTAAAAGTCTGTACTCTAAGAATGAACTCCTTCTATGTAATGGTTCTTATTTTTAATTTATTCAACACAATTTTCTTCACAGTTAATGCAAAAGCTCATCAGCTCATCACCTCAGTTGGAATTTAGAAGTTTAAAATCCTGTAGCTGTGTGTGTTGTATGAAATAATAAAACATCAAAGTTTTAATTTAAAAATCTCTGAAATTTCAAATTTACTTACTTTCTAACAAGATGAATTGGAAAAACCACGATATCCAGATTTATAGAAGAAAAACAAAAAGAAAGGAAGAAAACAAAGTTAGTTTTCCAACTTAAAACACAATTCTTCATCTTACCATTTCAACAAACAGAAATACACAGGAAACCCACCAAAGTCAAATCTGGCTGCCTATGGGAAGGTTGGGAGGAAAAAACTGGGGCACTGGGCTAAAAGGTGACTTTGACTTTCTTCCCTAATACTTCTATAATGGTTACATTTTGTTCATAAAGCCAATGTATTTCCATATAACAAACATAACGAGAAATAAATAAGCAAGACAATATTTCTCCCCAATTCTTTTCTTTCTCCCATCCCCTATAACCGTGCCCTTGCCTATACACCTGCCAGGGTAGATACACAGCTTATTCTACTTGTTTGTTTTTCCCCCTAGACTGTAAGGCTGTGGACCCTTCTAGTTTGTTTTCATTTCCCACAACTCCTGAAGCAGAACAGGGGTGGAATTTGGAGGCAAGGGAGCAGGCATAATTTAAACTGTCTAGACATCAAAGAACCCCTAGAGATGCTTTACAGAGCCCCAGTCCTGTGTGAAATAGAGAAAAGCTATTGCTTTGTTATCAAATTGCTGATGGAAGTCACACAATTTTACTGATAGTGAATACTTAGTGAAAGGAATGAAGAGCCTATCTATTAAATAATTTTAAAAATCAGAGAGAATATCTGGATAATGCAATTGGAAGACTACTTACAGGCATGAGAAAGAAAATATAATTGTGGGTCACTATTCCTTTACATATAACACAATGATTTACAGTATTTAATAACAATCTTAAACTATTTTATTAACATTATGTTTTAATAAAAATTTCAGATGGAAGTTATTTCCTGCAAACATTTAATTTTTTAAGAATATGGGAATGAAAAAAAATTAATCCTATACAACAAAAGCATAAGAACTCAACAAATTCAAGCAGTTATTGAGCATCATAATTAGTTACTGTGCTAGATGCTATCGATATAAATATAAATAATTATATTTCCATTATTTCAAAAAAGGATAATAGCTTCTTTCAAGCATTTCAAATACTAGCCTTGAGAAAATGCATCATAAAGAATATATTTTAAGAGAAAGTTAGGTGGGTCTCTGGGGTACAGTTAATACTCTTGATACCGTATCTGTGTTCACTTTGTGAAAATTATTCACAATTTATGGACTAAATTATGTATATGTTATACTTCACAAAAATGTTTTCTAAATGTTAAAAAATTAATAATATACCATTAAATTTATTTATTTAATGGGCAAGTCCCTACTATCAGAGAAGAATGAGGATGGCTCCTAGACACACACAGGAACCCAGTCTACATCAATCGACAACTCAGTAACGTAGATGGTTACAAATTACCCTAGAAAAATCAAGGCCAGATAGTTACTGAGAAATATTACTGTCAATAAGAAACTCTCTAAAATAACGGAAAATAAAACCTTAAAATTCAAAGTCCTTTGTCCAAATAACATATATGTATATGATAAATGTATATGGTTATATATGTTACCTGAATAATTCTAACACAAAACAATCTATAGTAATCCTCAAATTTGATTTTGAAGAAACAGTGTCCTAGACTTCATGGTCTCTCTACAATCACTAGCACTAACATAAGAAGAATAACAAAATTTAGCATTTAAAAAATATATAAATGGGAATAACCCATCAAATAAGAGATAGGTCATATTTCAAAGGAAGATATTTTGTGATTTTCTATGTGAGGATATCCATGTGGTTTTCAATATTCAATATATCTCTAAAGTAATGTTAAAATGTGGTCCTGGTACTCTTATCAGGTGGGATTCAGGCAAAAAATGATTAACAAATAATATATGCTGTACACTTTAATTATTAAATTTAGAGAAAGACTTTTGAACTCCAGATGTCAATGTGTATCTCTGGTTGACATAAACACGTCTGTCTGTACAACAAAGTACAG